AACTTGAGAAATACTGGACCAAAAAAAGCAAATTTTTGTAAATCACCACATAATCAGGCAACATCACATACGTTGTTTAAATTCTAAGATGAGTATCTAAATCACTCGTGTTTTGGAGTATCTAAAACAACAAAGATATCACAATACTCAAACTCGAGAAAATATAGAAAAGTTCATTATGCTTACTCTCGAATGCAATCGCGATCGATCGACATTTTCGTTCTCTTGATCGGGTAGCTAACGCCAGAGTATACCAGTGTACCAAAGAGTACGAAATGGCACAATTCCAATGTCGGTCAATAACGAATGCGTTCGACATTAAGCATGCTGATCGGAAATCATGCTTGGAACCTCAGACATTTCGACACCTTGAAACTAGTGTAAGAGTCACTGAATATTGGTTCTATTAGGAAAAAGGTGCTATGATGAAAACTTTGTATACGCTCATTTCTGAATCGAGACGTTACAATACGGTTTACTGTTTTGACTAGTCTTCAGATACTAGAAGGGCAGTAAGAGTTTTAGACACATACTCGTAGCCTGTCAAACTCGAGAAACGTTTTGTCTAAACCCAAATGTCACTTTCTCGAGTCGAAAGTAATATCGGCATACCCAAAAAAGTGACATTGGCTACGCGTGCTGGACGTTTCGTCTACGTTACGGGCGGTGACACATTCCCTCTACCATAAAAAAAGTAATCTAGCTAAGCAACCAAAAAATATTACAGTAAGGAAAATATGACAATTGTTTTTTTGTATAAAATTAGATTTATACTTTTAATGTTGTTTAGAAAACATCCCTTGCGTATAAATAAATTACCTACTGTATTCTATTTTACTCGGCAGTACCAAGCTATATTGACAAAGTGTGGCCCCTCCGTCCAAAGTAAAAACTCAGTCTTTAATGGGAATTAAAAATCACGAGCCGAGACAGAATTGCCAGTCGTTAATGATTTACATGATTTTTGAGGGAGGTTTTTTTAATCACTGGGGGAAGATAATTAGCTGAACAAGTTTGACAACACAGTGTTTTGTAAAACGACTTTTATTTATGAAATAAAAAAAAAACAAATCACTTAGAGATTTGTATTAGTTCAGTTAGTGGTCGCAAATTTTATCGTCATCAAGCTATGAATGAATATTCTTATAAGCGCCGCGGCCTGCGAGCGTTGTTGTTAAGCATCTTTCACAAGGGTCGGTTACGGGATGGATGACCAAACAATTATAATCTCTAGCTACTCCGTGGTCCAGAAGGCACGTTATGCCGTTGGTTCCGGCTGCATTTGCATTGATACCCTTCAATTGGCCCATTTTCCACCTCATGTGGCAGGTTAAGTAGGATCATAGTTCATCCTACTTAACCATTCATAAAGAAGGTTTGAACCCCTGCATCTGATAAGATGATGATGTAGCGACTGACGGCTAAACGTGCCTTCCAAAGCTCACACGAGCTCGATATAATAAAATTTTGATCACTCGTCCTATGATCAGCCCTTGCGAAAGTGGCTTAAGTTCCGCATCGCAGAACAATTACTATTTCACGTTTAGTTATAACTTTCCTATTATTATTGTCATATATTCATAATAAATATTTTAATAAAACATATATTTGAAACGTTTACATTTTCTAATGACCAATGTTTCGGAACTCGTATTTTAAAAGAAGAACATCATAGAAATCATGTGAAAAAAGTTTCTTTCGAAAACCTCAAACCATGAAGATTCTATGTCAATTCAAGTAACCCATTACAATAAAACGGCAATTTCATACTTTAACTCCTAATATTTCTATACAAACAAAATGTCAACGAAGAGCAGCATAGTAAAACAGACGTGACAAGTGTGAACGACGAAGGTTAATTATTTCTTTTTGTGCGCCCTCTCGCCGGGAGATTGCTGTGATTACGCGACTGCGCTGCCACATACTCATATAACAGACTAACCAGAAGTACATTAGTTAACCGCCTAGAAGAGAGTTGCCTCTCAGAGTAATTTTATATGTGTGATTGAGTTTTAGAGCAGCTAGTCACTATATTCGCGAAGGTAGGGGCAACATTAAATTCGAGGTCACTGTCACCATTAATATTTACATTTCACTCGTGAGCTTTTTCATATAACTTTTTTTTAGTATTTCGAAAAACAGTCAAAACAACAAGATAATTGTCTGTAACAATTATTTTATACTACACACCATTTACATGTTTTCGCATATATGTAACATTTTAATTAAAACTATATGCCATGTGATAGCGATTGCGGTGTTTTTTGAAAGATTTTAAACTATCGATATCGTTAATTTGATGCAAATATTACTTTAAATTTTAAGTATGTATTTGATCATTCAAATCATCATTCTTTTCGTAAGAGTTTGCGATAAATTTTTGTTAGTTAAAAATAACTGTTAGAGAAAATTTTGATTCGAAGTAGTTTAAATATTTAGAATTTATTTATTTGCACACAAATAAAAACTTGTTTTTTAGAAACTTTTTTAATTAATTTTTTTAACTAAAGAACACATTTTTTTGTAGATTATAATGAATTTACTGCTCTGTTTTATTCTTTGGCGAGGCGCTTTCACGCTCTCACAATACTAGGTGCAGATTCCGCAAACACGGTTTTAATTAGGGAGATTCGTAGAGTGCACCGACGCTACAGGATGATGTATTATGTCCATGTCGCTTCTTGTTTGGTACATACACGCGAGTAAATAGACAAGAATATCTGCAGCTCCGAATTGTATATTATTTAATATCATACCATGTTTTGTTTGAAATAAATATTTATTCGGTATCGGGATGGGACTGGCAAATTTCTTAAGAATTTTCTTTATGATAAATATTAATTTAGCTTTGTGAATGCAAAATTTATCAAATATAACATATTGAAAATAATACAAAGTCAAAACGTCATAAGATGACCCTTAAAATTTTATATTTTATTGGGTTCCTTTATTAGTGTATAAGCTTGTATAATAAATAAATTTACGTAAATTTTAAACTCTATCTACTTGCCAATTAATAAAAAAGGAATTCTTCGTATTTGTCTATCTTCAAACAAATTATAGAGATGCCGATATAAATCGATTCTAATCCATTTTCTATAATTCGAGAATACATCTGCTGGAGTAACAAACAGTACAACTACGAAGTATAATCGGTTATTATAATAAAAAGAACAATCGTACAATAACATAATTTAAAAAATATATCAAATAGCAAAAAATTATATTACTGCGAACACACATATTGAAAAACTGCTACCTAAATAATTATTAATTTATGATTACGTAAACTTAACGCGGCACGTGTATCATATGCACCCCGTATACCGCGCTCGGTGCATCCACTCGTTAATATATTCCATCAGTAGAGTAAACCGCAATCTGCGCGCCGTCCATTCACGCGGTAACGAACTCCTTTGGTATAGCATTAGCGGCCACTGTCGAACATTCCCTATCTCGACTCATTAAAACAGATGGTCTCTTCAATGGAGTTCTAGTTCCGCTTGCCTTTATAACAGTATAACATGGCTGATTCTATCGCAATGATGGAATAATGTCCTATGGTTGAAAAGTATTAATCTACCAAATTTTATATTCGGAACGTTTTTAAAATAAGAGTATTATCACTGATAGTGGTACCTGTTTTAAAGGAAATATTATTAATATTTCCTTTCATTTTCATTTTTATAATTTCATTTTAATAATTTCATCATCATCAGCCTTTTTACGTCCCCATGCAGGGGCTCAGGCCTTCCTTATGGATGGTTAAGGAGGATGGGCCATGACCCTCCACGCGGGCCCAATGCGTATTGGAGGGTATTAACGAGATATAATTTTTTTGGTCACCCATCCCGTGACCGACCCTTGCGAGAGTTGCTTAACGACAACGATCGCGGGCCGCGGCGCTTATCCACTGCGCCACCGAGCTACTTAATAATTTGTAATTTGATAAAAATTAATTAAATATTTCATTTGAAATTAATTATATTGAAAAAGCTTAAAAAGTTATGGTGTTTTTTTTAAAACACAGAGATTTAATAAAAACACAGAGATTCTGATTTTGAGTCTTAAAATCGCACGATTATATTATTATCTAAAAATTAAGTCGTGATTTTTCATGTGTGTCACGTGACTTGAAACACGTCCTGCCATTGTATGACGTCACTGTGGTGACAACTGTCAGACTAGTCATAAAGACATTCCTATTAATTATAAATCAAATTCCTAGATGGCGCTGTTCTTAGCTTATTTAAATCTTTTTATTTTGTAATCGATTTTAAGATGGTATTGTTCCTGTTTTATTGACATCTTTTAATCTTCTTCTCTATGCATCTGTTTTGTGTACACATCACAGTGACGTCATGAATATGACAGACGGCGTTTTCGCGGATATAAAAAATGTTAAATTTTGATTTAATTTTAAGGCAAGAAAACATGTTCATTTTACCGAAATATTTTTATGGCTTTTTAAAATTAAAATGAATAGTTAGAAGTATTATTTCAAACGGAGTAGAAAACCATAATGTACTTAAAGAATATATAATGAACCTTCTAACTTATCCTTTTACTTGTTTTCAGTGTCATTTTTATTTCCTACGTTTTTTTATGGAAATCTAGGTCATTGAACTGACACGGGAATAGTAAAAACTTTGATTTACCCTTTGTATATTTGTTGTATAACCGAATTCAGATGTCGTGCAGGACACGCAATCATTTCTTATGTAGGAATGGTGATATTAATAAAAATAACACTCTAGTGATAAAAATCACATTCAATTAATATTTATCATTCAGTTAATGCGGATCTCACAAACCTACTCTGTAGGTTTGTGATAACTAGAATAGACTTAGAAAATTAAAGGTTAGTTTTATTTGTCATTTAATAATAAAAAATAATGGACTTTTATTATATGTAACAAATGCTTATTTTGTTTTTCTCTCTTTTTTTCATTGGTTGTATCTCACACCATTCATGGACCTGTATTAAGAATATTACGTACCTGGGGTGTTTTGTCTACATCTTTTGGTTTCAGCCGTTGTAAATGGTTGGGTAGGCGAGCTTCTTTAGCAGGAACAAGAGTAACTTTCTTATCGTTTGTGGATTTAGCTTCTGAAGGTCCAGGCTTGTTTGTATTCACTCTAGTAGCCTAAAAATAAATTACATATTAAGCACTAGGAAAAATACTCGGAAAAAGCCACTGCCTCCAATACATTTGTAATTTTTAATTTATGGACAAATTATTTAGATAGCATTTAGAATACGACGAAACAACTTTGTTTAGTTTTATGAAAAAAAAAAATAATTATATGTAATAAATATAGCTTAATAAAAAAGATGCTGTTATCTTGCTTTTCTATTTCCGAAGTCTGCATATTTCTATTTCGGTTTTATAAAATTAAAAAAAAATGCAAATCTACTCACTTATTACTCCAAATTGTATGTATATATACTGTATGTACTGTACTGTACTGTATGTAATTTATATACTTTAGCCCACTAATGTATTTATTAACTCACCATCATCTCGTTACGCCGTATAATCTCGAGCTGTTGTTCTCTCGCTATTGCTTGACGCACTGGAGGCGGAGGTTTCATTTTTTCTTCATTACCTAGAAATATATTTGTTTTTTAATATCTTCTTAGCCTAGGTTTATCTACGAATAGAAGAGGTTTTATAACGCAATGTAGTCCGTCGTGGCGTTCAAAGGGGGAGGCCTATGTTCAGCAGTGGACGTCTTCCGGCTGATGATGATGATGATGATGATGATGATAGTTGTTAGGTATGTTATTGTAGAGGTTAGCAATTTTCGGAAATACTATTACCACCAAAGCCTTAATTCATGAACTGTTGCTTATGTTTTTCCATAATACCTACGATGATTCAAGTATTATATTGATAAAAGATTTTTAAAATATATTACAAATAAAATAATAAACTATCAGGAATTCCCAAAGTGTTCAATATCGACCACTTGGGGTTGGTGAAAATCTGACGGAAGATCCGCCGACCGTCTTACGGAAGTATGCGTAGTACGCGACAGATCTTTCGTTGAGTCTCCATAGTTGGATATCATGTCATATATGACAGTGTTCGTGAAGAAACCGTATTATGATTGAAGAAGCTGATAATTGGTGATGAATGGTGGATCACGAACGACAAAACGTGCAAAAAGGTCAAGGTTAAAGATCCGTCAGGCTTCACAGACTGTAGCGAAACCCGAGTTAACTCGCAAAAGGTGATGCAGTGTGTATAGTGGGAATGTAAGGGCATTATTCATTATGAGCTGTTACCACCAGGCAAGACCATCGATTCTGAACGCAACTGCGAACTGCGAACAACTGATGAGATTGACGAATTAAACAATAGAAGGGGTGTGGTTTTTCATCATAATAACTCTAAACCTCATACATCTTTTGCCACTCAGCAAAATTAAGAGAGTTTGGCTGAGAGATATTAATGCATCCGCCATACAGTCCTGACCTTGCACCTTCAGATTTCCACCTATTTCGGTCTCTTCAGAATTCTCTAGGCAGTGTCAGGTTAACATCACGCGAATACTGCCAAAACCACTTGTCGCGGTTTTTGATCAGAAGCCCCAAAATTTCTATAACAATGGGATCATTTCCCTACCTACAAGATGGCAAAAAGTTAGTAAGTAGTAATACTTATATCCTTATCAGTTTAGTTTACTCGCTTAGTCAACCACTATTTTTTTTTAATAGTAAGTATTTAGTATTAACAGATAAAAATAAGAGATAAGATTGAAAAAGGGGGCAAGAGACCCCTTTTTCAAATTGAAGCCAAATTATTTTAAAACAGTTTGGGAATCTCTTGTGTATCGTACCTATAAAGGCCGCCTTGTGCACGTCCGGTTCTAGCACGAATGCGTACAGATGTTCGTCGGTGCGCTGCTGCACGTACTGCAGCCCGTAGTCGCACATGGCGGCCGCGCACGTGCGCACCGCCTCGCGCTCGCGCTCGCTGCACAACTACCCACATCACGTTACAATTATAACTACTGATCGGAATAGGTCGAGCTATTTGGATTCATTGACCGCAAACATTGATGTTAATATGGATATTCCACGAGATTCTGACTGAAACTGCGGGATTTTGATGAATTGAATTCTTTTTATCGATGAATATAAAAAACTGTTTATATAAGCTGTATATATGTAATATAAGCGCAAGAGCAGGATGTTTGACGACAACACTAGAGTGACAAACCTGTTTTTGTCTCTTTCTGATTCAATTGTTTGCCAACAGTGACTTGTTGTCAAACGAGTGTTGGTTCTTTTATAAATATAAGAAATTGTCACATAAAAAATATATATGGTATAATGAATCAAGTTACTATCAATTTATTATACTATCATTAAACACTTTCATTACAGCATAAAGCCTGAATAGATTTTTTTTTATTACTTTTGTAATTAAAAAGCAAATACCGGGAATAGAGGGATATCCATATTATTTTAACATATGGCAAGTACACAAAACAGCTCTATCTACTCCGATCTGTGCATATAACTCATACCATTAACATAACACCTGAGGCCCTATTATTTTTGTGCTCGAACAAAAATTTCGAAACTTTCTTATAATTTTGTTAAAATCAAACCCGCGAAGATCATTAGTGTACAATAAGTTCTGTATCCGTTGGATCATAAATTATCGTTTCCTTGAAGTCGTTGTGGCATTTCGAAAATAGACGGAATTTCATTATCGACGAAATAGATTAGGCATTTAGATCTCATATTAAAACATGAACGACATACTTATTATAGATGGATCATTCTGTAACCGGTAATAATGATTTAAAAATGACTCGTCGTCAATTATTAGTATTAAATAATTATTAGGTGAATGAAGTATATTGTGAATATTAAACGATCAACTTTCATAGAAACTTGAATATATTATCAACTTAATTGCTTCGATCAACAATACAACTAGATGACCGGTCAGTCTCAAAAATGGCCAAAAAATAACGCCTCTTTTCAAAGTGAGGTTTTTTTTAGATTTAATTTGTTTGCGACTGCGTCAACGTTCGGATGTCGAACGTACGATGCCACAGTGCATATAAAAACTTCGAAAGTAACTATCGGAATAAAAATGTATCTGTTGGAATATCATGTCATTTTTCAATGTCTATAATTAATAATTAAATTATTTTCAATAAAATAACAGAGTTTTGTTTCTGAGTCAACCTACGCGCCAACATGGCAAACATTTGACTAAATATTCGATGTTCTAAGACAGCACATAAATGGAGAAGTGTAGTATTACATTTTTTGTACCAAAATTTTGAACACTAATTAAAAACATTCTTGATGTAGTAGTTCGTGGTCTCGATTACAAAGCCGTGTGCATGAACATGAAGGATTGTATGAGTCTGGGTGTTTTTTGTATTGAGTATTTAAAATGATTTTATTGAGTATCTATTTACAACAAAAATATTTAAAACAAAAGATGCGTTCCCTGAAAGTGACGAATTAAACCATATAACTGAATTACTTGATGAAGGTTGGAATATACAATCGACTTCGCATCAAATAATTATTTGAATATAAAATCTTAACCCAGATCATACACTTTAAAACCTTAAGTTACAGTTAGTTCTTTCTGTAAACATTAAAATTAATCAGTTAAATAACTTTAATAATTTAAATATTTTGTAATAGTAATTTAATTAATATAAATGTTTTCTAGTACACAATTTTAATATTGTGGATGTGTCCAATAAGTATTGTTTGAAGGAAGATAGCTATGTTTTTTATTATAAAAAGTTATAATGAGATATTGACACAAACAAAACTGAGCCTTATGATTTCTAATTACGGCATATCATGTTAGATTCGTGATAATCTTATGTCTATTTCACTACTTAATATTTTTAAGATGGTGGTGTATTTGAGTATTGTTTTAGTATGCGTGGCTTAATCTAGTTGTATTGTTGATCGAAGCTTAACTGTCTTTTAAATAAGTATTTATTATTCACCATTTTAAACCTTTTTTTAGTGGACTTTATTATTTATTTTGCGTATTGGTTTGGGAATTAGTCAAAACCAATTGATGCTGATTAATCAAAATTAATCAGCTGAACAATTTTAAAACAATCTTAGAAATTCTGAAAACATTAATATTAACCTGCACATTCGCAGACCTCAGCGTCGGATTGAGAAGATACGGCAACAACGGTATCAAGTCAAGTCGCAGAGGAGTCAGAGTGAGAAGGACAGAGGGCGAGCTGCCTCTCCATACTGATTTCACTATACTCTCCAACTCACTCTTCCTTTTTTGTACCTGGTAACAAAAGCAACAAATAAAGCTAAGAACAATGTTAAATATATATTTTAGCTGTAAAATAATTATACTATGTTCGGGTTTTAGGGTGGCCTGCAGCCGCCTGATATAATGTCAATCTAACAAACTTGGAAACATCTTAAGTCGTGTATCATTTTAATATAAAACTTTATAGCATTAGAAAAAGTTTTCAAGTTTTGAGAATTATCGCTTCGGACTTTTTGAATAAAGTGCAAATAACAATAGCATATAAGTGGTATAACTTCTAAGCTCCGATGTTATAACAGGGCGTAGATTCGGTACTGAAAAATAGGTCATGAAATTACACAGAAACTAAAATTTACATTGTAATAAAAATAAAAATTCTAATTTTAAGTCATAAATTCGCATGATATCTTAATATAAAAATTTGCGATGTTTTGTATACTTGTTGAAAAATCAAGATCATGGGTTCAGTTTTTTGGGACAGCCAGGGGTTGATAATGATTGAATACCTTGAACATGGAGCCACTATCATAGGAAAGTTCTACGCAAAACTAATAAAAAAATTACGTCACGAAATCCTTAAAAACCGACGAGGAAAAGTCACGAAAAAAGTTATGTTCCATCAAGACAACGCGCCGGCCCACAAGTCTGCAGTTGCCATGGCAGCAATCCAAGATGCTGGCTTTGAGATCCTCGATCATGATCAAGATCAAGATGAAGATTTTTTTAAAAAGGGAATTTTAGCTTTTTAAAAACGATTTGCTAAATGTATTGAACTAACGGGTGATTACATCGAAAAAAAAAACATTCTCTAACATAGCCATTCTCACTACTTTTTGAACACACCTAGTAAGCTGCTTACTCCTTTTAATAAAATACCTTGTGACATAGGTATTTGTTTTCTTTAGATCCAGAAAAAAAAAAAATATTTGACAACAACTAACACAGTTGTATAGATTTTGTTTAAGAGTAACTAAAGTAAGTTATGTATTTACATATTATACCTTCAACTTATTCTTATCATATTTGTTCAACTCTAGTTGTGTGATACAAATGTATTATTATAACTATTTTATGCAAAATCTTGTTTCATTGAATGAAGTTATTGTAGTATTGGATGTGTACAATAAATTCATTAAATGAAGTTATTCTAGTAGAGATATTTTAAATAAAACTTAGTTTCTACTCACATTAGAAATGGAACACCTATTTATAGTTGCATATACAAAAAATATAGCAATTATATATAATTCCGATGCTATTTCAAACAGAATAGAATACCATATTATCATACATAATAATAATGTCACTTACCTCATGCGCTTGCATAGGAAACTTCAATTTGAGTGTTGCTTTTGTAGCTAATATTGTGTGACATCGCGCTATACACATCGGCAGTAACCCATATAACGAGTAGTTCTGCCCTCGTAGAGTCCAAGAATAAACCAAATCGTATAGTCTCAGCCAAGATAGAGTTTCGCAAGCTATGCGAAGACGAGAGTCTACACGGGCTGATAGGTAATTCTCGAATATTCCGTCTATAAGCCTGGAAAAAAAATTAAAAATATAAAGATTTTTTTTCTTATAAATGTGGACTGTTTAGATTGCAAACTTTACTTTTATATTTTTTTAGTAAGTACTAGTGTGATTAGCATCAAATTAACGTAGAAAGAAAAGTCATAGTTTATCTTCACGTCAAGTAATTTTTTTATAAACGGTTGAATATGTCATTGTAAGACTGTCATAAAATTATTTATTTATTATTAAGGCATGCTTACAACTAGACATATTTAACAATATTAAATAATTTAAAAACAGACTGATAATTAAGCTTTTACAAGCATACACAATATTCTTGTATAACAAGTTAAACTTAAAAACGAAAAAAAAAAAATTTATGAAAAAAATATAACATTGAACTAAAAAATACAAATTATAAAAAAAAATAACAATGATGAAGAGAAAATTTTCTTTATTATTTTGTTAAAAAAAACACATTAGACGATTAATGTAAAAATAGATCAAAGTATAATAAAGATACAGTAAAAGACAGATTTGATATAAATATAAGATGTTTACAACTTTAAACACCAGCTCATTTTTCCAATTTATCTAAGCATGAACATGATTTAACTAATTCACTTTCATTTCACATATGAAATAATTTAATAAATGAAATTAAGCACCATATACTTTCAGCTCTTTACATTAGCTGTAATCGCATTAATTTTCGCCTATCTCTAATAATACCTGTCATATTCTCCAGCCGCTTGCACTGTCTTCATGATATCACCCTCGCCCGCTGTAAACACAGCAATTAAAGCCTGCATCAGACTTTTGCTGCAGTCTTTATTACCAATCGAAAGTTTTTCTACATCCTCCATTTTCATCTGGAATTACAAGAACATCATTATCAGCTTATTACTTGAAATTCCCACTAATGTAGCACAAGAATTCCCTACGGATGGGATCTACAGTTGTTCAAAACGATATCAAAGCATTAAAACACTAAATTCTAATAGAAATTTGCGTGCTAATTAACGCGCTAAATTCTAATAGAATTTAGCGTGCTAATTAACGCGCTAAACGTGAGCTTTTTTGGTCTGTGGCATACCATACAGACAACCTCTGTAGCAGCATTGGTCGATGTTCAGTCGTTCTATAGTACGTCGAATTGATGTTTAATCGCTCGATCGTCGAACCGATGTTGTCACCCTATCGATTGTCGCTATAACGTTCTGTCGCACTAACGTCCGTTGAACAGTTGTGCAGTCGTATTATATATAATTATATTGTGGCTTAATTGTTCTGTAGCGTATTTTGTTTGTTCGCGCTACTATGATTAAAGTGGAACAGCAAAAGTGCTGCAAAATCATCACATCATCATCACCAGCCCTTTCACGTCCCCACTGCAGGAGCTCAGGCCTTCCTTATGGATGGTTAAGGAGGATGGGCCATGACCCTCCACGCTGGCCCAATGCGGATTGGAGGGTATTGACGACTGCAAATGCAGCCGGGACCAACAGCAACGCGCAGCCGCAGAACGCGTCGCTAAGGCGAGGTTGTGCGAAATCACCACTTTTATAACCAATTTTTATTTCAGAACTATGCTTAATATTTGCCAAAGAAAGATCATTTTATAAAAAAATTACACGTGATCGATTGCTTCCTCTAAACAGAAACATACATTTTAAATCACTAATATTTTTCATCTTAATGTATACAAAAATAGGCGTTGAAATATTCTTTTGATCGTTAAAAATATTATTTTTATAAGTGTATTTGTTATTTTTTCTGTATTTCACAATGTATGAAATCAAACGAGCGCGTCTTCACTCTCGATGCGTATTCGTATGGGAACGCAAGCGGTGGTACGAGGGGGGCTTTAATTTGTATATAGACCTGCGTGAGTCCCCTGCGCGCGGTGAAGCTGAGCGCGTGCAGGGCTGCGCGCACGTCGCCCTGCGCGCGCGCCGCCAGGGCTGCCAGCACGCGCGGCCGCGCCACCACGCCCTCGCACGCCGCCACGCGCTGCAGCCGCGACGACAGCCGCGACAGCGACACCCCGCCCACGTGGATCACTAGCGATACCGATCTGCACAACCACAACGACCACCCATGTAGAATATCACCTCTATCTGTCTAACTATCATGATTCTCGAGACACGGCCTGATGACAGATAGACGGACAGACTGTGGAGTTTCGTAATAGAGTCCCGTTTGAATATGGAATCATAAAGATAGACCAAGCCCTACTCATAAATTGAAATATAAAAACTATACATTGTAACAGCAGTGATTCTTAACTTGTCCATTGGCCACTGGTGACTTGGAAATGTCCCTAGTGGTGCGTCTAGCAGAGATTTTATTATAGATATAGGTATATAAAACAATTCTTTATTTAGATACTAAATAATAGATCAACTAGATTGTATGTGACCAGATATACCAAACGTCGAAATTCAGCAAACGGTCTTTAATCACTGAAAGGTTAAGTACCTGTATTTGAGTAATAAATTATTCACAAGATTGCTTCCTTATTTCCTCAAATTTTATCGAGTCCCCAATACTTCAAGAAAAAAAAAATAGAATAATCAAAGTCTTGCGTCTTGGGTGGATGTTATGGCAAATATATTGATCTACCTACTTTCAGATCCTCTTACATTCAATACTCGTACAGATGACACTAACTCACCACTAAAAAGTTAAAACACTTGGTTCACGCTATATTTTTTTCCCTGCCACTCATTCAGGACGTCTTTTGACTGATATTAACTTATTTATGGTTTTGACTTACTAAATAAATATTTTGCCCCTACTGCTCACAACTTTACACTGATCTGACATTCTAACAATTTCGTAACATCGTTCTCTTTATTTCGTTCTCGTATCCATTCATTGTTTTTACGATCTCTGAATGTAACTCCTACCAGTTTTCTCTTATTCACTCTTTGAGTTTCCTGGAGTTAGTGGAGAATCTCCTTAGTAAAAACTTAGGTCCCAGCTCCACAGGTGAGCATTGGTAAAATATACTGGTCAACTGAGTATTGATAATAAAACAAAAACAAAAGTTTCGCCCAAGACTGTTTATATAGATTACGTATAAAAATAAAAAAATATATATATTAAAAAAAATTCAAAAAAGGTACATTAGAAAAACTCTCCTTAGGAATGTAAACATCTATAGTAAAAAAATTAATCGTACACAAATCATACTACATACTAAGTATTATTCTAACATCTTACCTCAATGGTCTAAGAGATGTGGCATATAAATCATTACATATGGCTATAACTGGCCTCTTCAGGGGTTGTGATTTAGCTTTTTTCTTGCCTTCCACAGCCGACGCTGTACACCATTTCACTAACAACTCTACCGTCGGGAGAGGTGCACCGTCTATTTCATCTGGAATTATTCATTAATACAGTTTAAAATTTCATTCATTAGTAACCATAAAAAGTTTAAGTTTTCCTACTTAGAGAAAACAAAGTTTTATATTAAACTAGCTTTCGCCAGCGGCTTCGCCCGCGTGGATCCTAGGGAAATATTTAGTGGGATAAAAAGTGTCCTATTATCTAAGTCAGCTAATACTATAATAACATACAAAAAATACCTAAAATAAGACAGTTGGGCCTCTTTTCGGCGTCGAGTACGGAACGCATAAGCGTCGCACTCTGCAGAGCTGTTCTGAATGCTTCTGTACTACGTTCATCTGAAGCATTTAACTCCACAGGCCGATATCCTAAGAACACACATATAATAGCTTTAATGTAAATAATTTTATCAACTATGTTTTGATTACATCTCTTGAACTCGCATAAAGAAACATTACAAGGTAAAGTAAGATGTGTCTCCGCACAGAAGGCTAAAATTAAAAGCGCGGTAAAAAATTAGAAAGGTTGAATGGGAGAGAATACCAAAAGTATTAAATCCGCCAATGTACGTGTGATCCGTCAATATCTATACACGTGACCCCTACGGAGTGAGAATGAGCCGGACACCTAATGCTATATATTTTACACCTTAAGGTTATTAATAGAAAACTATCAATTCTAATTGCAAACAATCAAATCTTTTCTCTTTATAATATATTATACTATACAAATCACCTCTGGATTTCAAACATTACATTACTCAAAAGATTAATTCATTTATATATTTTTATAAATCTGTCTGACATTACAAATTGTTTTGCCCTATTATCAAATTGTTTTTTATTATCCTTATAAATGATAAATATAAAATAAAAAACTCTTAATTACCTGCAATTCTAGCCAATAAGTGCGCTAGAGTAGTTTTCCCAACACCCGGTGGACCGCACAGCAATGCCACTTTGTGGTGCGGACGGCCATCTTCACCCAACTCGGGCTCCGCCTCCCGTTTGCCCCGCCATTTGTTACTCAGTTGGAATTGTCCAGTACGTTTACTGAAACTGTTTCTTTGCTGAGGCTCTGTAGTCTTTACTTCTTTTTTGAACACAATCTGTAGTTTTAGATCATTATTATACTTAATTATATTTTTTTGTTTTTTATGCTGTTATGTATGAGTCAATTCAATTTTACAACTTAATTAAAATCTTTCATATATATATTATGTAGAAATGGTATCTTTATATTTAACTAGCTTTTCCCCAGTGGCTTCACCCACATGATCCTGACTTTATATAAACTATCCTCTTGAATCTATCAGTTATATAGTTTTTAAAGCATTTCAACTTACAGACTTCATAAATAGACTTTATTTTATGCTATATAACTTGCTTCTGCTATACAAGTAAAATAAAATAGTTCATTGAATTTTCGTTTTTTTACCTATATCATTTTTTTACTGTACCAGTTTGATGATGGTAGAAACAAGTAGATGCCATTTTCGATACAACATGTTGAAATTTTGTCTCCAAACAATTAAAAGTAAAATTCTTATAATGAAAATACTTGCCTTATCCCATAAATGTAGCCAATGTAGAAGTGCTCTATTAACTGGTTCCTCGGATAGCAAATCTATATATGACTTTGGTCTATACTTCTCCACCCATAAATTATTGCTATTGACATCTACTATGACTTCTGGAAGCAACTCTTGTGACTGTCGAATCTGCTCCTCCTCTTGTTTTTTTTGTAACTGAAATATACAAGTTCGTAGTTTTCATTTGATTCAATTTGTGAAGCAAAAGTAAAGCTATTTTGATAAAGAATATGTTAATAAAAAATAACAAAATCGAGTTCCTTCATGCTTTGGAAGGCACATTAAGCTATTCCTCCTGGTTACATCTCAAATTCTTAACACTAACCAATCCACACAGGTTAGTTGGTGGTGGATTATAACCTGTTCTTATTTGGTTCCATCTCCAGTAGTGGGAAGATAAATTGACAATGATAAAAAAAATGTTTAGCAAAACTGACTACCTCAAGCTTGATTCATAAGTAAGTTGCAATAATTTAGTAATATGTATTAAACAATTATTATTAATAAATACTGTAACTAACTATATTCCCACAACTTCCCATAGCTGAAAGAATCTTTCCACTTTAATAATTAAGCCCATATCTACAACTTTTTCCAACAGGAGGAAAAATTTTAATTTCTTTTATCTGTCTTATATTATCATGATTTTGGCGTGCCCTTAACACTGGCATTCATTGCATGTGTCACCTTTGCCAACTGGTTCAGATCAGGGTATCCAAACCAGTTTATAATAACCTATTAGTATAGACTACTAACCATTTGTCTAGCTTCATCCCATGTTTTAGTATACATGGAATGTAAACTGTGATGATTAGTGGATGTTTCCAGTGACTGATCCCATGCATCTTCTGATTCAAATCTTACGTACACTCTTTCTCCATCAGAGTTTGTGACTGGCATAAATGGCCACCTAGACATAATAATATAATAAATTGGAACATATTTAAGAATGAGGAAGACTGATATTAAATTTAATATTGTAAAAGTTGCCATTATGTTGCATCAAAATTATTGAAAATTGGTTTCAAGTTTTTCTCCAACATGTATGTAACTTTGATCAATATAAAATACTATTTCAATTTCTATAAAATTGGTTTTAACAAATAAACATCATTGATCTATCTGAACATACTATCTAGGTAGTCTGATTATTTATCATACACCACAACAAACCTTGGTATATCTAGAGACAAATTTTCCTTAGCATTAAACACAGATTCAAACTTCCGTTGCACATTTGAAGGTTCCAATAGCATTTGTTTAAGCTTTCTGCTTTCCACAATTTTATTTATCAATTCTAAATCTGTTTCTTCTTCAGTCTTTTGTCTTTTACTTGGCAATTCTACGTTATCAAAATCTATATCATCTATATCCCCAAACAATTCATCCGCAGTTCTTTTATTTGACTGAGCAGGTGTTAATGAATCTTCCGTATACTGAAGGTTAGGCGTTAGGGATAAGGGGATACGATTATCATCGTTCTCTTGTGTAGAATCAGTAATTACAGGAAGCTTTTTAGTAACAGGGCTAGAGAAATCTAAGCTTCTTTTTGCAGGAAGCGGCTTCCTTTTGACAATGTTTGGCTCTGTAATTATGGAAAGAAGATACGGTAATATATGAGTATAGTTATTATTGGTAACAAAACAACGATATACCTACCAATGTCCTCATGTTCCTTTAGTAACTCAAGATCATCAGCATACATAAGTTCGTATTCTTCATCGGGATCCGGATAATCACTCATTTTTAAAGAGTAGCTTTTATTTATTTCATAGGAAAAATATTTTTTGTATTTGTAAACATGTGGTTTAAAAGATCACTTAACAGATTTAGAACAAGGAAAAAATATAAACAAAAAACATTTGTTTCGTAAACATAACCTTAACTCAAAACCAGTTGACATTGACTTTTAGGATTGCAATGATATATCTATCTGAATCAAGACATATCGATTTTGATGTAACAGCGATATCGAAGAAACAGCCATATCGATATCAAAAATAACAAATATCAAACCTAATATTGAAAATAATCCAAAGAGTAATTGTATATCAATTATTCAAATTTTAACATAAAACAGCATCATCGCATGTGAAATCAGATATGTAACATATGTGTCATTATTTTTTAACCCAAGTTTTTTGCTGATATTTGTAGTAGTTTTTTTTATCTTATAATTTATAGTTTCCGCCAGCGGCTTCGTCCACGTGGTCTCATGTTATACATAAAAACCTTCCATTTGAATCACCCTATATATGAAAAAAAAATCGTATCAAAATCCGTTGCGTAGTTTAAAAGATTTAAGTGCACATAGGGATACAGAAAGTGACTTAGTTTTATACTATGTAGTGATTTTGTAATTGTTATTCACGTTCTAATCGCAATCTATTTAAAGTGGCAAAAACAAATTTTCCCATTGTGACCAGAAGCATACCTTGAACGTCTTTAATTTAAAGAAAAACCAAACGTCACGTTTCTGGAATTGATAATGAGATATCGTATAGGCGCACCGCAGCAGATAACATTTGAGTGTTAACAAAACGATCTAGAGTTTGTCATGCTACGCATACAGGATCAAACATTACATGAAATAGAAACAAGTCCACCAAGTAAGTCTGATTTACTTTGAATACATTTATCATTAAACACATTTTATTTACAAACAAGATTTTTAAACTTACTTAGGACCTAAAAACATAAATATCGGCTTTGTGAAGTGATTTATAAACACCGACTGTAACCGATGTCTATCCATCTTGATATATCGATATTATTATGAACCTTGCACATCTAGCTGAAATACATAAACTGTAGGCAAAAGGATCTTTCCCAAACTATACAGCCTAGTTTTCTGTACTTTATTAATCTGTTTTCATTGAACTGTTGGTGTTTTAAACGTTTAATGCTTAAACCAAAAATAGAAAAGTCTACAGAAAAGTGATACCCGTTCGCTTTCCCACGTTGAATAATCACGGAACACTCTTCTTGTTAATATATACAACCCATGCACTATATTATTTTATGATATATAACACTTTGTCTCGTAAACGCATCATAACACATTGTAACGAACAAAAACCCTATAATTCGTGGATGTTCAGTTGTTTAGTTATTTTTTTTTTCTATTTAAATGTTTTTTTATAAAGACAAGCCCGTTTTTTAGGATACAAGTCCAGTGTGCGAGGGAAAAAGTACACCCAGACTACGAATTAAAGAATTAAGTTGAATAATTTGTAAATCACACGAAGAATTGTTCTGTGTGGGGATCGAACCCACAACACTCGATCCGTGGACAGTTGCATGGCGACAACTCAACCACACTAAATCTATCCTGTATAATGCAAAATAATGACGACAGTTCTTGCCGAAAAATTCTTTTAAATAAATGAATATAATTTAAAGTATAATTATATAAAATACCTATGAAATACCTAATTAAGAGGGGCGGCAAATTGTCTTCCGCCCCGGGCAGCAGACACCCACGCTACGTCACTAGGAATAATGGTCTAATTTGGAACACCTTATATTTTCTCTTTTTTGAGATAAAAATAAGCCTGTTAAAAAGTTTAAATTTAAAAAACGTAGAGGAAATAATAGAGATTGCCTGTATAGAGCTGGACCAGCTGATTGTACTGAGCGTATATAGACCTCCTTCAAGTTTAGTTTCTCATTATGATCTTTTTGAAACTGTTATGGATGAAGCATTAAAAAAGGTATATAGCAAAGGCAAACGATTAGTAATTGGGGGTGATTTTAACGTTGATTTATTAGGAAACTCCAATTCATGTACAAGACTTGTAAATCTATTTATGTCCTATAATCTTGCGCACATGTTTAAGGAGCCTACTAGAGTAACTGCTACTTCGTCCACATGTATTGACAACATTTTTACAGATCTAGTACAACTTTCAAGACAGATAATTAAACAACTACCGTCAGATCATTTTGGACAACTAGTTAGCTTTCCGCATAAATGTACGTTTGTGGCTAGGAGAGACATTACAGTTGTGTCAAAAAGTATGAGTCGCTTGGAACGTTTTAAAAATGAATTAGATAGTAAATTGTATCATTTGAAACATAATAGTAATCCCAATGATTTGTACAAAGATTTCTTTGATGTTATTTGTACAGAATTCAATAAGATTTTTGTCCCAAAAAAAATAAGTATTAGTAATCCTTTTAGTGTGTGGGCTACACCAGGAATCTACAAAAGCAGAAAAAAGCTCTATGAACTATATGATGAACGTAATTATAACACAAGTGAGGACTTCAAAGAATATGTACGAAATTACTCTAAATTATTTAAAAAACTGTGTCGTTTAGCCAAATGTAATTATTTAAATGCAAAAATTGAAAATAGTAAAGACAAAGTTAAAATGACGTGGAATATCATAAATAGTGAAACTGAAAGAGAAAAATCCCGGAATATAAATTTTAATTTAAACATTGATAATAAAAAAGTAACATCAGATCTTGAAGTTGCTATACAGTATTTGAAAATTTATTTACTGAAATTCCAGTCTTAATTACACAATCTTTGAATTCCTCTTCCACTGTTGCTGAATCTATTTTAAAGGCAAGTTTAAATAATTCTAATAGCCAATTTAAGTTTCAACACATTGATTTTAAAGATATAATAAAATCTTTTAATCAGCTAAAGAAAACGAAAACTGCTGATTTATGGGGTAATTCCATTGAAGTTTCTAAATCGGTAATTGAGACAATAGCTCCAATCTTAGCTTATATATTTAATGAATGTACTGATTGTGGTATTTTTCCTGAGCTCATGAAATATAGTAAAATTATTCCTTTACATAAATCGGGTAGCACATCTGACCCTACTAACTTTAGACCTATATCCGTGCTACCTACATTTAGTAAGATTTTTGAAAAAATCATGCTGGATCAAATACAAACGTACTTTTACAAGAATAAGCTTATGAATCGACAACAATTTGGTTTTACAAGGGGTCGCTCGACAACCGAAGCCGGTGTCGAGTTAATACAAGAAATTTTTAATGCCTGGGAGGATTCACATGATGCGTTAGGTGTTTTCTGTGACCTATCTAAGGCATTTGATTGTGTTTTTCATGAAACATTGATTAGGAAACTGCATTTTTATGGATTTAGAGATAACTCATTGGATTTTATTGTCTCATACTTGACTGACAGAGTACAGAGGGTTGATATCAATGGCAAAAGATCCCCTGGATCGAAAATTAAGATGGGCGTTCCGCAGGGCTCAATACTTGGTCCTTTCTTGTTTTTGATTTACATAAATGACTTGCCTTATTTCGTAAGGGATGATCACGAAATAGTTTTGTTTGCGGATGACACTTCACTCTTGTTTAAAATTAAAAGAGGGTTACCTCTAAATGACGATGTGAACAATTCTATCGCTAAAGTAGTACATTGGTTAATGTAAATAATCTTCTCCTTAATGAAGGAAAAACAAAATGCTTAAAATTTGTACTACCTAATGTTAAAAAAGTAGATATAAATGTTAATGTAAAAGATAAGAACATGGGCCTTGTGGATACCACAGTATTTTTAGGAATAACATTAGATTCTAAACTACAGTGGGGCCCACATATTGATAAATTGTCGAGTAGACTTAGCTCTGCAGCATATGCCGTAATGAAGAAACGTAGGTTAACTGACATAGATACTGCCAGATTAGTATACTTCAGTTACTTTCATAGTGTTATGTCGTACGGTATCCTATTGTGGGGAAATGCTGCCGACATACAAACAATTTTTGTGCTTCAGAAAAGAGCAATTCGATCAATTTATAATCTTAGGATTAGGGACTCTTTAAGGGAGAAATTTAAGGAAATAGACATTATGACTGTTGCTTCTCAATACATATACGAGAACTTAATGTACGTTCGTAAAAATATTAGTTTGTTTTCTATAAAAAGTGATGTACACAATTTTAATACAAGAAATAAAAATAAATTAACGGTGCCTGTCACTAGACTGCAAAAAGTTAATAACTCTTTCAAGGGTCTTTGTGTGCGCTTCTACAATAAGGTCCCAAGCAAAATACAACAATTAGATATCATGCAGTTTAAATCTACTATTAAAAAAATACTTATTAATAAAGCTTATTATAAGGTATCCGATTATATAACAGATAAGAACGCTTGGACTTGAGATGATCCAGCAACTGGATAGGTGATTACTTCTAAACTCATTATCTTGTTTCCATTATTATTAAATGATTATGTTATTATTATAAGACCATAGTTTTTTTATCTCTGTTTATAATGTATTGATCTGGTAATGACATGGTTTTTGTAAATGTCATTACTCATATTAGAGCTGGTAAGTTTCTTGCTCGTTCTTCTTATCAGCCAAAAGACGTCCTGAACGAGTGGTAGGGAAAAAATGTTGGACGATTCAAAAGTACTTTTACGAAGTCTATTTGAATAAAGATTATTTTGACTTTGACTTTGACTTTGACCTGAAATGCATTCAATCAGACAGCAGCGACAGCAGAAGGTACAAAGTTATTATGGGTAAAGTTGGTAAAAAATTTATGGAATCAAGCTTTCCGAAATATGAGAAAAGTTAATAAGATAGCTGTAGTCCTGCAGTGCTAATTTGTCATAAAAACAGTGTCGAACTCGTCGTCGAGCGCTGCACTATCATAGAAAAAAATGTTCAATCTAATAGGTTCAAAAGGTAATATTTAATTAAAGCTCGATGACTTCACTGATGAATTTGAGGCTGTTTTTGACA